CAACCTCAGTCCCATGCCCGTCGCGCGACAACCACAGTCCATTACCGTTACCACTGTAGTTTCGCTATATATTCTTCGCTCATGCCTTCGCTCATTGTACTCTTGCTTCGATAGTGCAATTCTCGTTCGTTCACTCAATTGCACTCGTAACAATAACCCAATAAAGGGCGGACTCATCTCACCTACAGAGAGAATATGAAACTTCTTTCAATGTATTCTCAACTGTATCTTGGCCTGACGTGATTCACTCCCTTGATTGGTTCTTTTCTCCGCAGATTCTCGACTGTATCTTGTGCACGTGTCAGCAGCCCATTCCCCCTTTAGCTGGTGAGGCAACTGTTTTGCTGCGATATACAGCGAGTGCTTTTTGTGCGTTTAACATCCCCGAACTGTTTTAAGATGTTCAATTATCTTTCCCCTCGAGAGTCCCTCCCATCCCCCGAACTGTTTAGGGTTCACTCGCCAAAACCCAAACTTGTGCAATTTGGGCTTCCGGCTTTAACTATTCATTTTATTCCGATCGAAACTAGTCATCGGATTTCCGCCATTCTTCTCAGCGCATGTAGACATCATCAGCAGCCGCGTCGCGCGTGCTATAGTCGCCACCAACAGCATCTTTTCCGCCCGGGCATTGACAGCCGCCGACGAAACGAGCAATGAAGTCCATTGCGGTTTCCCTAGTGTCGCCGAGCGTGTTCCTTCTCCGCGCTGCGTTCCGCGTTCCGCGCGACTCTGGCCCGTGGCACTCCGCGTCCACCCCGCCTTGCCCCCGGGAACGCGCCCCTTGGCGAGTTTTACAGTAACGAGCGAACGTAATAGGTGGGTCGTCGCCGCTCGGCGTTTTCGAAAGCAATGCGCGCTTTGTCGCAAGCTGGCACGGTCGTCTACACACGCGGTGTAGGCCGCATACGCTGCTGCGATATGAACAGCATTTCAGAACAAGAGCGAATACATTCCTCGTTTCAGAATCACCTCCTCTTGCCCTCCCCTCCCCATTCTCGTTCCTTTCTCTCCTTCGCCACCCCTATCTCCGAAGGTTTTCCAGAATACCCTTGCCTCGCGCGGGCCTACTCTCCTCCGCCCACTCGCTAGCCGCCGCTTCCCCCTTCCGCACCGACTGCTGCGCCACTCCGCCAAGCGCAGCGCGCGCTCCCCCCGGCAGGCGGAGGGCTTGGCGCGCAGCGGCTGCAGGGGGCGCGGGCGAGGCGGATGCGGGGGCGGCGCCGCTGGTGACCACTGCGGGCGATGGCGCAGTGAGGGCGGGTGAGTGGCAATGGGGGAGAGGGGAGGGGCGCGGTTGAGTTGCAATGGGAGAGGGGGGGGGGTGCGGGTGACTGGCAGTGGAGCGAAGAGGCGGGTAATCAGCAGAGGCACAGTGAGGGTGGGTGAGCGAGGCAGCGTTCCCCTTCCTCCCCTCCCATCCGCCCTTCTCCCCTCCCCACAATCATCTCACCAGCTATCCGTTTGAATTGCCAGAGTTCTTTCCCCGCACCCTTCCCCCCTCTCACCCTTCTCACCCTTTCTCCTTTCCCCGCACCCTAACCCCCTCTCTTCCAGTGTCTGCAACACGCTTCGGTCTCTTCCGCTCACCTGTGTCATGCGGTGTAGAGAGCGCCACCAGCGCCCACGGGCTGCCAGTGGCGGTCTCAAGTGTTGCAGCGTCGACCTTTCCCCACACCCTCCCCTTTCAGTGTTTGCAAATCGGTCAGGCCGCTCGCCAGTATGCGGGGGGGTAGAGAGCGCCACGAGCGCCCACGGGCTGCCAGTCCCAGCAGTGGCGGTGCGCGACCTGGTGGAGCCGGCGTAGTACGCGCAGCACTGGTCCATCATGCCCCACTCGCACCACCGCCGCAAGGGGTACCCTCCGGGGTCACTTGTTGACTTCACCACCGCCGCTGATGGCCGTGAGTCAAGGAAGGGGGGATTGGGGGCATGGAGTGGGAAAGTGGGTAAGCGGGAAGTGGGGAGAGAGAGGGGGAGGTTGGGAGGGGAGGTGGGGAAGGGGGAGGGGTGGGTGAGCGAGGTTGGAGCGGGGGTGGGAGTGAATGTGCGCGGGGAACGAGCGAGGAAGGTACTGTTGGGGCAGCTTACTTACTGATGCTGGTGAAAGGTACTGCACTGGTGCCACCACTCCTCCTCGCTCCACTGTGCCACGCCTTGCATGCTTCTTGCAGCCCTTCCCTACCTCCCCCCGCCCACACTCTCTATCTGTTGCTATCATATGCCAGCTGTCTCTCAGCCCATATTGGTATCCAAAACTCTTTACTCTCTCTTTCACCCTCAATCCCCCTCCCTTCTTCCCCCATCTCCCCCTTGTGGACTCCCTCCATTCACATCCCCTCATTTCACTGCCATTCCCCCCTCTTCGTACCTTCAATGCTTCCTCCCCAAGTGCTCTGCAGTGCCCCTTCTCTCTCCTGCCCTCCAACCAGCTCCCCTAGACAACTCCCACCTCCTTCACCACCTGCACTTTTCCAACTGCTCCACAATTCTGCCCTCGTTCCCATGCACTCGGCTCTTCCCTCTCGCTCACAGCTCACCTCGCGAGGTTGATTGCCACGTGTACCCGTGCCCCCCACTGTGCGTGTGCCCCCACGTGTCCCGGGAGCAGGTGAGCAAGGCGGCGAAGGGTGGGGAGGCCCCATCGCCGCCATCCAACGCTTCGATGCCCCCGTCAGGTCAGTGCCCCCGCCGTCCACCCTACGCGCTCCTGCTGCTGCCCCGCTCGCTCATTACTTCACTCAGCTCATGCTGCTGCATGCTGCTGGGACCCACCATTCCCCCTCTTCACCACCATTTCTCCCAACCACCTGCTATCGTGAACATCCTCTCGTTTCTCCGCCACTATGCTGCTCCCCATGCCCCATCTCCCTCCCCAACTCCCTCCTTATCAACCCCCTCCCCCTGTCTCTCTGTGCCCCATCCACTCCCCTCCAGCTCTTACCACCCCTCAAACCGCATGTGCTCCAAAAATTCCTGCCACGCCTTCACCTTCCCCCTTTTCCCTCTCTTCTCTCTTCCTCTCCCCTCCTCTCCCTTCCCCTCCCCTCTCCTCCCCCCCGTATCTCCCCTCTCCGCTCTCCCCACCAGGCGATGGAGATGGAGAATGGGGTGTTCCTGGGTCCGGTGGGCTATCTCACCTTGCAGGGCCCCATGGGCTTCACTGCTCGCCGCCTCGCCTTCACCTTCCACACGCTCACCCTCGGCCCGCTGCCGCCCTTCGCCCTTCCAGGCCAGCCTACGCCCTTCCAGGTCAGCCTGCGCCCTTCCAGGTCAGCCTGCGCCCTTCCAGGTCAGCCTGCGCCCTTCCAAGTCAGCATGCCGCCCTTCCAGGTCACCTGCCGTCCTTCCAGGTCAGCCTGGCAAGTGTGGGGGGGAGTAGCCACACTCATGGTTTTGACGGCCTGGGCTCCGTCACTCCCCACTCTGGGCACCTGCCTCCTGCACTTCCCCCTCACTCTCTCCCTCTCTCTCTCCTTCTCTCTTTGCTGTCCCCACTTGTCCGCTCCCTTCGCAGCCTTGTCGCTCCATGCATGCCACCCGTGCTTATGCCTCGACTCAATAGTCATTCCAGCTGTGCTGCCCTTGCATTCCCAGTCCTCCCCTTTCCCATGGCACACGCTTCACCTGCTCGGCCACATGGCAGAGGGCGATAGGCGGCGAGGAGGACAAGGGGAGGGTGCGAGGGGAGGGCAAGGCGGGCAGCAGGGACCCTTTCTTCACCTGGTTCTACGTCGACCACCGCATCGCTGCTGCCACAGGCAGAGGCCGCGGTGCTGCCTCCTGGGTGCGCTACACTGGGCCCTACACGCAATGACACCACACCACGCCACCCACCAACCCCCACCCATGCCCACTTTTGAGACTTCAGTCGGTCGGGTAACTTCAGTCGGTCGGGCAACTTCAGTCGGTCGGGCAACTTGAGATTCTCATGCGGGCATGCAGGTGTATGTGTGGGCGTGCATGTGTGGGCGTGCATGTGGGGTCGGTGCCTGTGCAACTGATAGCCTCTCCCGCTCATCCAACTCGCCCCAACCATGCATGGCCATGCGCTTATGCGCTTATGCTCTCGTGCTCTCACACGCACGCGTTCGCACGCACGCATGTGGCGGGCATGCAGGTGTAGCAAGATCCCGAATGTGCGCCTGTGGCCCAATGAGAAGACCGGCAAGGCAAGGCGTGGGACCAGAGCGTGAGTCAGGGGCGAACGGGTGAGAGGGGTGGGAGCAAGGGGTGTGGGATTGAGTAGGTTGTGATTGTAGAGGATGAATGGTGTGGTAGCATAGGTGGGTGAATGGTGCATCTCACGCTCCCTTCTCCGCTGCCTTCATCCGTTTGACTCAGCCATGCTTCAGCACCACTCGCACCACTTGCACCCAGCCATTCACATGTGTGTGTGCCTACCTTGTGTCGGTCTGCCTCTCTGTGCGTGCAGGTGTCGCAACGAGGCTACGGGGTGCTGCTAGGTGCCACCCTCCCACCCTCCAACCCTCCACCTGCCACCCTCCCACCCACCCCACCCCCCTTGCACGTGCGCTGCTTACCCCCCTATGTTTCTCCCCGTGTGAGTGGACCATTCCCCAGCTTCGCAACTCTGCGCGGGTCTCCCTTCCGCGCGTCCCCTGCCACGCCCTGCTCTCCTCCGCCCACTCGCTAGCCGCCGCGCCCCCCTCCGCACCGACTGCTGCGCCACTCCGCCAAGCGCAGCGCGCGCTCCCCCCGGCAGGCGGAGGGCTTGGCGCGCAGCTGCTGCATGGAGCGCGGGCGAGGTGGATCCGGGGGCGTCGCCGCTGATAACCGCTGCTTGGGATGGCGCAGTGAGGGCGGGCAGTGGGAAGGTGGGCGCGCGCGGGTGAGTGGCAATGGTGCAAAGAGGCGGGTGATTAGCAGTGGTGCAGTGAGGGTGGGTGAGTGAGGTACCGTTCCCCTTCCTCCCCTCCCCTCCGCCCTTCTTCCCTCCCCACAAGCCAGAGTTCGTTCCCCGCACCCTTCCCCTCTCGCACCCTTCCCCTCTCGCACCCTTCCCCTCTTGCACCCTTCCCCTCTCGCACCCTTCCCCTCTCGCACCCTTCCCCTCTCGCACCCTTCCCCCCTCGCACCCTTCCCCCCTCTCACTCCTTCTCTTTTCCCCCCACATTTCACCCTCTTTCACGCGCCACTCTCTCATCCTTTCCCGCCTTCCCACCCACCTTCAGTGTCCGCCACGCGTTCAGGTCTCTTCCGCTCACCTGTCTCAGGGGGAGGGGAGAGCGCCATCATTGCCCACGGGCTGCCGGCCCAGCGCTGTGGTAGCAAGCAGTGCGCAGCCTGGTGGCGCAGGCGCAGTACGCGCAGCGCAGCTCTGCTCCATCATGCCAATGCTGCCTCCTCCCTATTCCCCCCCTCTTTTTTCTCCCCTTCTCCCCGCACACCCTCCCTTCCCCTCTCCTCCCCCGGCTTACCGGCCTGGCAGTGGCGGTGCTTAGTTTGGTGGAGCAGGCGCAGTACGAGCAGCGCAGCTCTGCTCCATCATGCTCCGGTCGCACCGCCGCCGCAAGGGTACCATTTGGGGTCGCTCGTTGACTTCACGAGTGACGCTGACGGCCGTGAGTGGGGAGGAGGGATGGGGCTGAAGGTGGCATGAGTTCAGGTGTAAGGGGAGTTGAGTAGTAAAGGGGATGGCGAGGAGTGGTTGAGCGAGGTTGGACGTGGGATGGGTGTGAGTGGGCAGGAGGAAGGAAGGAGAGAGGAAGAAGAAGGAAGGTGGATGTATGGTGTTGTGGCACACCAACCAAAGCATGCTTCCTTGGTGGAACCCGCCTCTTGCTCCGCCCTTCCCGTCCTCTTCCCCCGGGCGCCCATCACCACACTCCATGTTCCCTGCCGCCACCCCCTTTCCCGCTTCCCCATCTTTCCGCCCGCTCCTCTCCGCTGCCACAATGACTGCGCTCACTCCTCTGCTGCCCCCGCCTGCGCTGTGCTTTCCCCTGCCTTCCAAGTGGAGCAGTGGCACGGCGCGTGGCACTCACCCTGCGCTGCACCACTCGCCTTGCCTGCGCTGACCACCAGGTGAGGTGAGGACGAGGAGGGGAAGGGAGTGGATGCAGTGGGATGAGATGCGGAGGAGGAGATGAGGACGAGTGGCGCTCGTGTTGCTGCTGCGCTGGCCCGCTGGCCCGTCCTTCCCGCTCCATATTGCACCAAGTTTAAGCATGCTTGCACTCAGATGCTCCTGTGTCAGATGCTCGTGTGTCAGATGCTCGTATGGCAGATGTTCGTGTGTGGCTGCCTTGTTGTGCGTGCTGCTATAAATCGCCCCTCCCCTGTCTGCATCACCGCACGCCTTTCCTCTCCCCATGGACGAGGTGCGAGAGGAGGACATCATTCACCTTGCTGCACTTCGCCCCATTTGCCCTCTCCCCATCTCCCCTTCCCATCTCCCCTTCCCATCCCCCCTTCCCATTTCCCTCCCCATCTCCCCTTCCCCACCCCTGAAATGTTCTCTACCCCTGCAATGCTCCACACTACCCTACCTTCCCCACCCTCTCCCCATTTTCCGCCTCCCCCCCACCTACCCTCTCCACTTGCCCATTCGCCTGCCGCCCCCACAAGTGGCGTTGGTAGCTGCAGAGCAAGAGGCACGGCATCCCCATGCACACCAACACCACACGCTGCACTCGCTCACCCACTCCCATCTCACCCACGCCCTTCCCTGCTCTCCGCCGCGCTGCTGCTTGGAGCTGCACCTGACAGCCAATGGCACACTGCCACGTCAGATGAGAGCAAGAACAACAGCACCAGTCCCAGCAAAACTAACAGTCCCTTCTTCTGTCCGCCCCCCTCCCTCGTACTCTTCCTCACTCTCCTCCTCCCTCCCCCTCCCTCTCCCTCTCACTCGCAGTTTCTATGCCTGTCTTGACGACGACACTGCTGCTGACTAGGCATGCTCGTCAGCATGGCGGCACACCACGTGTCAGGCACCGCAGCAGTTAGGGGGGGCGGGAAGGACGTGCCTGGGGAAGAGATGCGGTGACTTTAACAGCACCGATTAAGTACCGCTCGGTCTGGAACGGATGGGCCGTTGTTGTAACTGTCTTTTGCCTGGTGAGTCACTGTGCTATGCAAGATGTGTTGTGATGTGATGCGATGCGATGTAGGGTCGATTGAGATGTGAGGTGTCTGCACGGGGTGGACTGCTGTGGTCTTTGGCGTCACAAACCCTACTCTCATTCACCTGCTGAGATGCCATTCCATGCGAGGTACGGTGTGAGTGTCCAGTCAAACACACCATCACACATGCACCCTCATACCCTCAATAACACACATCTTTGTGTGCATCGTTGTTTCCTCCTTTGCCTCGCATCCGCACCCTCATCTCCTCATAGCCCCCTACATTGCCCCCCCTCTAAATGTTACACCCACTTCACTGAACCTCAGCGGCGCAGCACCCTCTCATTTGCCGGCCCACCTCGCCCGTTGCCCAGGTTGCTCAGCAACTCAGCCATCTCAGAGGGTGAGACAGCAACACTGGTTCGTTCGAGTCGAACCCTTTGAGTCACCGCCTGCTGGCGCGCTGGCATTGCTATTGCATTGCGAAAATGCTCCGTTACTTGCCAACTGAGCGGGTCTTGGGTCTAGTGGCATGAGAGGTGCGAATTTTATTTCTGAAACACCTTAGACTTCTTTCTGTTAGAGTTATTTCTTTCTCTACCAAGAGCCTTGCTGCCACTCATCGCCACTAGAGCAGTTGCATGGCCATATACGAGTGAAGCGGGCCTCCTCCATGCATTCCCCTTCCTCCTTGCATCCTACCTTCTTTCATAACCTACTCACAGCAGCCCCTCCGTCCCACCCCCTCACCCACAGCGCAAACCCAGGGCTGCGTGTGGGTGGAGGTGGTGAGTGTGGGGTGGGGTGGCGGCTGTGGGAAGGGGGTGCAGGCAGGGGGCTCAACGTGTTCCACCTCTGCTGCTGCCACTGCATTGCAGCTGCGCCTCTCGCTGCTACTTGAGTAGTTCCTTTGAAGGGGCGGAAGCAGGGTACAGAGGGGGAAGGAGTGCCAGTGGTGGAGCGGAAGCAGAATGGGATGGTCAAGAACAGAGAGGCGGCTGTGCGGTCAAGCCCATGGAAAGAGGTGCGGTGAGGGCTTAGAGTGGCCAGCTCATGGTTGCAGCATTCACTCCTCTCACACACCTCTTATCCTTTCCCTTCCATGCCATGCTTACTCAACGCCACCCCACCCCATGCTGTAAAACTCCCCCATCCAACTATCCCCACTCCTCCCTGTCCCCCACCTGCTATGTCCTCCTCATCCCTCTTTTATGGTAGAAGTTCACCTTTGTACCTCTGGCAGATCATTCCTCTGCTGTTGCTGCTGCTGCCACCGCCGCCGCCGCCACTGCTGCTACTACTTGTGATTCGTGTTAGGCTGAAAAAAGCCCTTAGGATCTTTGCAGGGGTGAACTCTGGGTAGAGTTGGTGTAGTAGCGGAAGCGTTAATTAAGGAGTTGTGAACCACCTTGCGCTAGTATGTGAGGGCAAAGTAAGTTGATTAAAACAAAGAGATACAAGATTATATAAGAGTACAAGGAATATGAAAGGATACGGTTATAACTGTTTTACTTGTTGCTGTTGCGGTTCGATACAGTGACGACTCGGGCAACTGCTCTGTAGCGAGTCAGTTGTGTGTCCTTGCTGTCGCGCTGTACTTGTCAGGTCAAAGGTCGCTGACCTTTGACTTTCGCGTAACCTCCAGCGGTTACTTCAACCTCCGAGGGTTGACTCGCTGGTGCCTCGGTATGTTTTGCTTTGCTTGTGCCTTAGTGTTTCGACACGACAGAAGCGCTTAGGACCGATTGTTTCCAACACTCCCCTTCGCTTCTGGAGTGTCGCTGACGTGGCTCTGTCCAGTCAGCAGCATGCAGTATTCGAACTTCTGCTTTCCGAGCTTCTTGGTCAGGTAGTCAGCTGCCATCTCGGACGTGGGGCAGTATGACAGCTCGAGCCTTCCCTTCTCGATCTCGTCCTTCACGAAGAAATATCGCAGGGCGATGTGTTTCGTCCTGTTCGCAAAGCCGTTCTTGTTGGCGATGCGAATTGCCGATTGGTTGTCGCAGAACAGGGTAAAGTTGGGTAACTCGGCTAACTTCGCTTCTTCCAGCAGCTCGCGAAGATAGAGTCCTTCCTTGGTGGCTGAGCAGAGTGCAATATATTCTGCTTCAGCTGACGAGAGAGCAATTAATTCCTGCTTGCTCGATTGCCAGGAGATAGGTCCGATAGGCTCGAAGCGGTAGATGTAGCCGGTGCGCGATCGTCTGTTGTCGGAGTCGCCCGCGTGATCTGCGTCGACGTAACCGATTAGCTTAGGCGTTGTAGTTGCGTTCTTATGGTAAGTCAGGCCGACCGTCGGGGTACTGACAAGGTAGTGAAGAGCGCGGTCGAGCTCCGCCAGATGTTCCGCTTCAGGCTTCTTGAGGTGGGTGGCGAGCTGGCTTGCAGAGTAGGATAGATCTGGGCGGCAGGTGACAGCTGCGAAGAGAAGGCAGCCCAGCTTTCTCTGGTAGTCGCGTATGCCGGTGGGCTTGAGTAGAGCGGAGCCTTCCTTGTTGTTTGCTGTCGTGTAGCGGTACGGTGTGGAGATGACAGTCGATGTGAGTGCGAAACGCTTGGCGATGGTGTCGGCGTATTTCGCGGCGCTGAGGTAGATAGCGTCTTCCTCTTCCCGGATGTTGAGGCCGAGGTACTGTGTGACGGTAGATGAGACCGTGAGTGTGAGGTCTTGCTGTAGCTCCCCTTCGAACCAGGTTGTAATGCCGTCAGTTGAGCCGATGTAGAGCAGATCGTCTACATAGACGATTAGCAGGATGTAGTCGGTACCCTTCGTGAGCCGGTACATGCCCTGGTCGTGCGGCAATTGCTTGAAGCCGATGCGAATGAGGCGAGCGTGTAGGTATTGTTGCCATAGTCGCGGAGCTTGCTTGATGCCGTAGAGCGACTTGAGTAGTTGACAGACGTGGTTCGAGTCCGTGCTGGAGCCGTGTGGTAGCTCGACGAAGATCTCTGCGTCAACAGGTGCGTAGAGGAATGCGTTAGCGACGTCGATTTGCCGCAGCTTCTTCTTCTTCATGGCGGCGATCGCGAGAAGGATGCGTAGCGAGGTGTGTCGGCTGACCGGAGCGAATGTTTCGGTGAAATCGCGTCCGTGCTCTTGGTCGAATCCGCGTACGACCCAGCGTGCCTTAAATTTGTCGATGGTGCCGTCAGCCTTTGTCTTCACACGGAAGACCCACTTCCCGGTGAGCACTGTCTTGTTCCGTGCCACGCCGATAGGAACCACTTTCCACGTGTTGCGTTCCTCCAGTGCCTTCAGTTCCTTGTCCATGGCTTCGCGCCATTTTTCCTTATGTTCCCCCCCGAGAGCCTGCTGAACCGTCGCAGGCTCTTTAGGAGTGGCGGTGCCGTGGACTGCGGTGACGAGTCCGAGAATCTGCAGTCCACTCTGTGAGTAGCGGGGAAGATTTACGTCCTCGGAATAAGCTGCTTCATCTCCCGCTTCTGGATCAGGTATGAAGTTCGGTCCTACTCGTTCTGCTTCGTTGGTGTTGACTGTCGCAGGTGTTACGTAACCGTTGTCGGCGAAATGGTAGAAGGTTTCGGCGTTGGCACTTTCGCGAGGGTTGTCTTCGTCCATGGGAACGTCGACGGAGCAGAACGGAAGAGGTCCGGCTTCTTCTGATGCGTTGTCCACATGCTGCTCGTCCCAGTCAGCTTCGTCCGCTGCTGAGGCGAAGGCTCGGTCACCACGAAAACCACCTGTGGGATCCTGGTCTTCGTGCAGGTTGGCAAGGTATGTCTGGAGCGTGAGTCGTCCGTAGAAAATGACATCACGTGCTGCTACTGTTTCCTTGGAGTGGACGTCGAAGATTTTCCACGCGTTGTAGTTCTTTTCGATTCCCAGGTGTAGTCCCCACTGTGCTCGTTGAGAAAATCGGCCCGCTCGTGCTGCTGGGGGTCGGTACTGTACCATGCATCCGAATACTCGTAACAGTTTTGTGCTGCCCTGTTTCCCTGTCCATAGCAGATGCGGTGATGCGTTGTTCGGAAGCGATGATGACGACAGCAAGTTGTGCAGCATGACGGCGTGGTCCATTGCTGCAGGCCACTGGTGGTTGGGTAGCCGCATGCCACGTAACAGTTTGCGCATGCTGTTCTGCAAGGTCCTGTTCATTCTTTCTGCTACACCCTGCTGCTGATGGGCGTAGGGAAGGGAGATGAGCCGCTTGATTCCCCTTTCCGCCAGGTACTGCTTGAATCGCTGAGAGGTGTATTCTCCTCCTCCGTCTGACTGGAAGCTTTTCAGTTTCACGCCCGATTCTCTCTCTGCTACTGGTAGCCAGGCCACGAAGGCTGCGAATGCCATGTCGCGGCTAGGGAGGTTTAGGTGCCAGACGTAACGGGTGGCGGCGTCGATGAAGGTGATTGTATAGTTGTATATTACTTGTCCTGGTTCCCGATTGTACAGGATGTCGCTGTACACCTTCTCGAGTGGTGCGTACGCGGGTGCGCTTGGGTTGTGATGAGACGCAAACGGTCGATGTGGTAAGTCACCTTCAGGGCAGGTGAGGCACGTTCCGCGTACTCGTTGAAGTTCTCGTCCGTCGGTCAGTAGGAGTGAGTCCTTGTCGAGTACTCCTGCTCTTATCGTATTGTTTAATACTGTGTTGCTTGGGTGTCCCATCCTTGCGTGCCAGGTGCTTTCGTCGGCGCGATGTCCGGGTGATCGTCGATACATATCGGAGTTGGAGTAGAAGTTGGCGGTGAAGTTGGCGCTGCGATGAACTTCTCGTGGTGCTGGGTGTAATTGTTGCGAGGGTGTCGGTGGTGTGTCGTCGATGAGGAGTGGTGTCGTTGAAGGACCAGCAATTGGTGTTGATGTTCCTGCTGCTGCCGTTGATGGTTCTGCTGCTGCCGATGTTGTCTCTGCTGCTGCCGATGTTGTCTCTGCTGCTGCCGATGTTGTCTCTGCTGCTGCCGATGTTGTCTCTGCTGCTGCCGATGTTGTCTCTGCTGCTGCCGATGTTGTCTGAATTGTTGCTAACGCCCTTGTTCTTTCTGCTTCAGGGATGGTGTGTGAATACCAGAAGCCTTCCGGACTAAAGTCTGGATCAAGGTCTGGAGGGTGTGTCCAGTTGGTGAAGTTAACGATGGCGTCGCTGTCGGCGGTGCCAAGATCAGGAACGAAGTCAAGAACGAAGACGTTGTTTTTTAGGACCGCCTTGCCGATGTAAAGTCCTCCTCTCCCGTGATACAGCTTGAATTCTTGGGTGGTGCTGTCTGCTTCGAGGTGAATCCCTTTCGCCATTAGCTGACTGACGCTCAGCAAGTTGTAGCCGAGTCCCTCCGCGATTAGTACTTTTGACATCTGCAGTATAACGTTTGTTTCCCTTGACTGAAGTTGAACTACGCCTTGTCGTCGTGTTCGCAGGTTCTGGTTGTTGGCGACTGTAATGACAACTTCGCGTTGAAGTTGGTGTTCTCGTTGAACGAAGCGTCCCGAGGAGCACATGTGCTGTCCGCAGCAACTGTCCAAGAACCATGTGTCCTTTCCGGATGGTTCGCTTTGGGCGATGGCGGCGTATGTCGGGTTCGGCTGAAGTGACTCGCGGCGGGGTGTGGTTTCGTCGAGTTGTTCTTCCGGTGAGTAGTGTGGTGGTGACTCGGTGATGCAGGAGTCACTCAGCTTTGCCATGCAGCTGACAATGTTTCTTGCTCCTTGTGCAGGTTGTCCCGTTGAAGTCGTTGAGGCTTGAATCTGAGTTGTGGGATTTGCTTGCGTTGAGGTGATTTGGCTGCTTGAAGGTCGAAGTTGCCGCTGTGGAGTTGTTGACTGTTGACGGTTCGGGCAGTGTGTACGCGGGTGTCCTGAAGTTTTGCAGATGTGGCAGAACGGAGGTACTGGCTTCGGTTGTTGCTGCCGGTTGTTATTGTTGTTGTAGCGTCGCTGAGTGTGGAACGCGAATTCCGGTGCTGATGTCTTCTTTTTGTGTCGTTCTTCTTGCAGGTCCATGTCTTACTGCTCGGCGTGGATTTCGGCGCAGAGCGCTGCTTCGGAGATTCTTCCGTGAGCTCGGAGAATGGCCTTTGTGGCGCGCCATTGAGGACCGAGGCCGCCGATGAGGACTGTCACGAAGGCGTCTTCAGAAATCGACCCTCCGCATCGAAGAAGCTTGTCGCGCAACTCGCGACATCGACTGATATATGCCATTCCTTTCTCCCCTGGTTTCATTTCAACCGTTGTCAGTTGCGCCATTAACCGACTTTGGCTTACGCTGTCTGTTGCTTGATACAGGCTCTTCAGGTGGTTGTACGCGAGCTCCGCGGAGTTGCCGTAACCTCGGTAAGACCTTATGTTCTGCTGTTGAGTCGGGGTGATATTCCTCAGTAGGATCGTGTACGCCATCATTGACTGATAGGTGTACTGCTGCTTCTCGTACTGTGTGCCGTTTGTTGGGTATGGCAGAGACCCGTCGAAGAACCCGAGTATCTGCGCGCCTTCCATCATCAGCTCGAACTCGAACGACCAGGTGAAGAAGTCATTTCCATCGAAGGGTCTTGACGTCTGCATCTTCAGGACGTGTGCGAACTGCGACTGAACTTGTAATGCGTCCAGTGATTTTTCTTGTCCAGGTGAAGGCTGTGGGTGTGGCATAAAGCTGATGGACCCGCGCTCGTACGGAGCAAAGGTAGGCTGCTGTTGTTGATTTCCTCGTGCATATGATGAGCCGTCGAGACTCATGGGTGTTGCTCCGTTGTTGTTGCTGTTGTGTGACTGCGCAGGTGCCGATTGTTGGTGTTGCTCGTAGAGGGACATGAAGGAGAAAAACTTCTCCATCATGCTCTGGTCGAAGTCTGCAGGTTGATTCGCGGGAGTCTCGGTAGATGTTGCTCTGGGTTTTGTTGCCGTGCCCTCCTCTGTCTGTAGGCCAGAGGCAGGAGGTGGAGTAGGAGTAGTGCCCTGGGAGCCGTTGGAGTTGCTCCTTTCCTTTTGTGTAGCCATGCTTGTTGGTGTTGTCGGTATAGAAGTTGAATTCCCCCTGATAGCTCTCATACCATGTTAGGCTGAAAAAGCCCTTAGGATCTTTGCAGGGGTGAACTCTGGGTAGAGTTGGTGTAGTAGCGGAAGCGTTAATTAAGGAGTTGTGAACTTACTTTGCCCTCACATACTAGCGCAAGGTGGTTCACAACTCCTTAATTAACGCTTCCGCTACTACACCAACTCTACCCAGAGTTCACCCCTGCAAAGATCCTAAGGGCTTTTTCAGCCTAACAATTCGACCAGTTGCCACATCACCTGCACCTCCCATGTCTCACGCAGCGGCCCCTTTCCCCTCCCCTCCGCCTTCTTCATTTGCCCACCTGCATCTGCATTGGTTGGTGGACCCCCTTATGCTACTGGGTAACAATTCCAAAGGTGCCAAGAAAAGGTTGTGGTAGCTATTCTTTCATTAACATTGTAATCTGCCTTATCAACCCATCCTGTCCAGACTCAATATCAATGACACTTGTGTAACATGTCTGGTCCAGACACCTGGGTCCTGATGTAACATCCTGTCCCTAGTGCTCCACTGAGGCAGGAGGCCCTCTACATAAGAAGTTCCTCAACATGTGTAAAACCATGGCAAATTTGATGGTAGTGATAAATATTGGCTGCAGGTGCAGTGCACATTGGAGCTGCAGGGTGCTGTGTTTCACCGTACCAACGAACGAATGCACTGTAATAAATGTATACAGTGTCATGCGCCACGAACGCAAGGCATGCGTGCTTCTTAGTGGATGCGTCAGCACCTGCAGTGGCTACTCTTGTCGAACCTTTACTCCCCCCGCCATGGGCAGCGTAGGAGTAGAGGGCCATGCCTGAGACGGCCATGGCCATGCCCACGATGTTAGCGGGCGAGAGGGAGGAGTCAAAGAGCATCCACCCCAGCACCAGCACCAGCACCGTCTTCATGTTGCCTAGCACCTGCTGGGCGCATGGGCAAGCTTGTTCCCTTAGTATGGTAATGCCATGGCAAAGTGGGGCTGCCTTGGAGTTGGCTAACCGGGTTCAGTATGGTTAGCATGAGGTTGGATGCAGGACAAGAAGCGAACAACCTAGAGCCTCCAGCGTCTGGGTAAAGTGAAACGATCAATTCAGGCTCCATCTTTCAGGTTTCAATGGCCAAGGATGCATTGACCAGAGGATAACGGATTATATGCTCAAAAGAGAGGGTTAGAGGGGACATGCCTGGAAGGAGGTGGGAGAGAGTATGTTGATGCAGAGGTACTGGGTGAGGTTGCAGAAGATGGCGAGCACACATGACAGCAGCACGAACGCCTGCACCGCATGGCACAGCACACACACGGGGTATGATCTCACAACCATGGAAACACAGATTTTTGAATCGACTCAAAAGAGAGGTGACTTTTGAGTCGACTCAAAAGTCATCTCACAACCATGAAAAAACAGATTTCCGCAAATGAGGCTCAAGAACGGCCAGGAGTGCAGCTGTGATAAAAGGAACAAGCGGCAAATGAAAGAAGGAAGTGAGGGAAGTTCCCATCCACCAGCAACACATGCTCCCCACACCACACTAAGCATGTCCTGGCATTTGAGACAACTTAAAAGACACATGCTCCTGGCACTGAGCATGGCCTGGCAGTGGCTCACCCAGGCAGCTGTGCCGAAGTGAGAGTGCCACAGGGACTGGCCTCCCAGCAGCAGCGAGTCTGTGGAGGGGCCTAGTAGTAGTAGTGACGCCGCTTGGGTGGGCGCGGTGAGGGAGAGCAGGCTCATGGAGTTGATGGCATGCCGTGAGTGCAGCATGGCGATGCCCTGCCACGCTCAACACAGGCATGGGTGGGAGAAGGGACGCGCGGGAGGGACAGTCGTGATGTGGAGGGGCAGCAGGAGAAGGATGTAACAATTGAGCAGTTGCCTTCAGGTATAAGTTGATCCATTATCCAGGTTACAGCAAATAGCAGCTGCAACGATATGCCCTCACCACTTGTTGGAGGGCTGTTGCCGCTACGGCGAGGGCGGCGACAGCGAGGCCAGTGGGCGGATGGAGACGTCAGTGACGGTGCAGACCGCCACGCCCGCCAGCACAATCATGATGGCGCCCAGCACCGAGCGCGAGTAGTGCCGCCCGTGCAGCGCCCACTCCAGCACACACACCGTGGGCAGCACACTCAGCTTCGCGATCTGCACCGTGTGGTGGGGCAGGGCGTGCATTGCCGGGGAGACAGGATGAGAGGTAGGGTTTTGGGTGATGCAGGGAAAGGATGAGGTGGGGGAGGATTCGCGGTGTGAGTAAACTGGGTGCGTTGTAGTGGGAGTCGCAGGTGAATGAAGCCAATGAGGGGTGCACAGCAGGGTGGGGAAACGGGTGGGAAGAGGGAGGGAAGAGGGCGGGAAGAAAGCGGGAAGGAGAAAGGCACGTGGCGGTGTGGGTGCAAGGGAGAGGGAGGAGCGCACTTGGTAGAACCCAACGGTGTTGAGCATGAGGCTGAAGTTCATCCCCACTATGGACGCATTCGCTACAACGCTGAACGCCAGCAGCTCCCCCAGCGGCACACTGGGCGCGCCCTTGCGAGCGCTGCCTCCCAGCCAGCCCACGAGGCCCGTCATGGCGAAGTGCAGCGCCGTCAGCGTCGTTGCTGCCGTGCACAGCACACCAGCGCGCACAGAGGATGGGGAGGGGGCCGGGTGGGGGCGCGGGGAGGGGTGCGGAGAGGGGCGCGGGGAGGGTCGGGGGGAGGGGTGTGTGGTGGGGTGGGGGTCAGGTATGGAAGTGGGGGAGAAGTGTTGGAACGGCAATGCAGCAGAGTGCGAAGAGGTTGATTAGTGAAAGTGCAGTGGTGGTGCAGGGGTGCACGGCGGAGGGCGAGGGGCTGGCGCAAAAGGGGAGATGGGGCGAGGGAAGGAAGAAAAGGCTGGAAAAGGAAACATACGAAGATTACGAGGAATTGCAAGGGAGCGAGAGGGGGATTAGGGGGATGTGGGGAGAACTTTGTGGGCGACGGGGAGGAAGTGAGCGGAGAAAATGGAAGTGGAGGTGGGGGCGCGGATACAGGCGAGGAGGGGGGATGTGGATGCGAGGCTGACCGAAGTGGAAGGCGTATCGCGACATGATGACCTTGTTCACCATCACCAGCGCCACGGAGCTCCCCACATTGCCCGCCCACGCGCCCACCGCCGCCCACCGCGAGTGCGGCCCGCTCGCCGCCATGCCTCCCCGCTGTATAGTCGCACCCGCTGCGCGGAGTTGCGGCTGCGGGTGTGGGGAGATTGACAGTGGGGCGTGGGGAGGCGGTCACGGGGGGCATTGGTGCGGGGAAGGTGAGCTGCCCGCGCAGGCGCAAGAGATGTGCGCATGCTCTCAATCTTGCGCGCATTCATTCCCCTGAGCGCCATAAAAGTAGCGGCCGATCCTCTAACGAGGCGTCCCTCGAAAAGCATGGTACTTGAATCGTTTGCGCGCATTGTTCTAAAGCACGAAGCGCGCGCCAGTGCGACCCGTCGTGAGCTCACCTTCGGGCAGTCGCGAAAGGTATCTACGGCGAAACGGAAACAGCGCGGTACCAGCCGACGAGCACCGCGCGCGCGATGCTAGCTCAGTAACCCGTTTCTCCCTGCCACCTCCTCTACCTATAACCGTAACTGCAGTTGCGCGTTCTAATACCGTCGATGGGCTGGGGCCGATCTAAACGCCTTGGCTGGCGTCGTCTGGCGATCGTGCTGGTTGTCGTGCTGTTAGCAGCAGCCGTTGTGGAGGACAAGTGCAGGTTGGCCGACGTGGGTGCGCTGGTAACGTTGACGACGTCGTCCTAGTCGCACTTTCTGGTCAACAATCATAATTTTGTCTCGCTGTAATGGCTTCGAAAAGTGCATCAATACTATTGAGAGACTATCGACCATCAGCTCGTACCGTAATTGCTACCCAGATTCCGTAGTGGCCTCTGCTACAACAATTTACTGTCTCCAGGGGAGCATGCACGCAACCATCAACTTCTCTACTGATTCTCTAGCGGGGATGCTCTGAATGAGGGGGGTATATTACCATGCACTGTCACTTCCTTCAGTCATACACCTGTGTTCCCACTGCTCAAGTGGTGTGTACACCTATCCTAGTTGGAACAAAACTCTTCATATCCCCAATCACCGTGCAACCTGTGCCAGATGTCGGCTTGAGAACCAAGGATGGGACCAAAACGGCACACAGTGCAAGGAGCAGGTATCAAGTGTGGGATCAGTTGTAGAGATCGTCGTCATCCTCTGCAGTGCCCGCGGCACCAGTTGCTGCAGGCACAGCAGAAGCGGGTCTGTCGGGGAAGCGGAAGTCCGATCCAAAGCCGCGTGACTGCTGCAGGGTCTGTGCAAAGGCCTGGTACCTGCTCACACCAAGCATTCAGACACGCAGAGAGACAGAGGGTACGTGCAGCAGTTACAACACTGTGGTGTAGAGCCCTGTACAGCACAGGAACTTCAGTAGCAGGCAAAGCAGGTGATGACAAGGCATCACCCAAGAACAAGGAGTGCATACAGACATAGTAGAGCATAGAGCGTAGCACATACTTGCGGATGTCAGCATCACTGACGGAGCGGCGAGCAAACTTCATGGCCTCCTCAAAGTGCGCTGCTGTGATCTCAGCCACCTCATCCGCCTCATCCTCCTCCATCGAATCCGGGTTGGCTGCACGCCGCTTCTCCCTCTCTATGTCCTGCAATGTGAACCATGCAGCCATGTGCGCACACACAGAAGGTACAAGTGCATAAACACACGCACACACACACAGAGTCACACTCGCACAGGTGGAAGAGTGAGCACAGATATGCAGCAGAGCAGTTAACTCAGAGTGAAGCATGCCCACGCAACATGGGCATGCACAGAAGCGTCGATTCAAATGCCACCAGCACACATTCAAGACTGCACCCTCAGCAAAGCCAGCTGCTGCCAGGTCCCCACACCCACACAACAACACCACTCCGCCCACATAACCAACTCCCACCTCACCTCTCTTCCCCGCCCTCCCAACCTGTTTTCCCGTCCCCCCTGGTCCCACCTTCTCAATGTTTTCCCGAATGGCATATTTGCAAGCGCGCTGGCAAATCTCAGTGATATCAGCACCGCTGAAGCCATGGGTGTAGCGCGCAAGAGCAGTGAGCTCGACCTCCTTAGCCAGGGGGGACTTGCGCAGCACAGCCTCAAAGATCTTGAGGCGCGACGCTTCATCGGGCAGCGGGATGTAGATGAGCTGGTCCAGGCGGCCCGGGCGCAGCAGCGCGGGGTCGATGATGTCGGGGCGGTTGGTGGCGCCGATGATGAACACCGTCTTCTTCGCGTTCATGCCGTCCATCTCCGTCAGCAGCTGGTTCAACACTCGGTCCGCTGCTCCTCCTGCATCGCCCACACTGCTGCCACGCTGCGAGCGGCGAGAAAAAGGGAGAAAGGACGGAGGAAAAGGGGGGGGGAGGGAGCAAGACTGAAGCATGTTCGAGGGGAGAACGGAACCACACTTCAGCTGTTGGAAGCAAGCCCCATGACCACCATCAATCCCTTCCCGCCAACCCAGTAGAACAAGAACTTTTCCGAGCCTGCCGTAATCCAATGTGCAACTGCCCCACGGCTCGCACGCCTCACCTGAGTGGCGATGGAGTCGAGCTCGTCAAAGAAGAGCACGCAGGGGGCGGACTGGCGCGCCTTGTCAAAGATCTCGCGCACGTTGGCCTCACTCTCGCCGAACCACATGGTGAGCAGCTCAGGGCCCTTCACGCTGATGAAGTTGGCCTGGCACTCGTTGGCTATCGCCTTGGCCAGCAGCGTCTTGCCGCACCCCGGCGGCCCGTAGAACAGCACGCCCTTGCTGGGCGACATGCCAAACTTCTCAAACTTCTCCGGGTGCTCCACCGGGTATTGCACCGTCTGCCAGCACAAAAAGGAGAGGGGGGTAAGGTGGGGGGAAGGGTTGGTTACAAGAAAGAAAGTGAGGGATAAAATTGAGGAAAGTGGCTGGACCGGAAAGATGGGCCAGAAAGCAAAATAGCCGGGATACGGCAAAAGAATATTGCAGCAGAAGCGGATGTGAAGTTATAATGGCGGCGCTGCGGGAGAATGAGAGAGCAAGCAGGCATAGGGCACAGAGCGCATGGTGATGGGAACACAGGCGGAGGGCTCACCTCCTGCAGCTCCCTCTTGACATTGTCCAGCCCACCAATGTCCCCCCATGTGACGTTGGGTACCTCCACCACCTGCTCTCATGCACACACACACACACACACACACACACACACAAATTTAGTAAATTTCAGGGTGGGTTGGTTAGGTTGAGTCAGTGGCGGGTTGGGAGGGGAAGGAGGGTGAACGAATATGCAACCGGCACAGACGTGAGGGGGCAAGTTCCCACTTGCAGCGCATGTGACAAGAGGCTCAAAGTTGCGCACGGCACTGACCGTTTCCCTGAGCGCGGAGGGGTTGGAGATGCCGAGAGCGGTGGCGAAGTGGTCGTTGGAGACAGCCATGGAGTTGAGGACCTCGGCGTCGATGCTGTCGTCCTCCAGGTCGATCACGTCCATCTTCTCGCGAATGCACTGCAGCGCCGCCTCCGTGCACAGCGCCGCCAGATCCGCGCCCACAAACCCGTGCGTGTTGGATGATATCTTCTCCAGGTCCACCTGCAAGGGCACAGGAAGAAAGAAGGGCGGGGGTAGTGGGGGAGCAGCGGAGTGGGCAGGGTGGGGAAAGGAGGTACTTGCTATTGATAGGTTCATTCAAATGCTACTGAAGCCTGGAGTTTCGGTCTCCACATGCACTGTCCCGGCATTCAGTTCATCCTCACTTCACAGCGAGTGCTTCAAAGCCAACATACGCCCGAACTCTTTCCTCCAGTGAACGAACATTCCTTCCCTTGCCCCAAGCACTCGAGATCCTTCCTCCCCCCTTGGCACGTACGTCTTCAGCGAGCTTCATGTTCTTGGTGTGGATGCGCAGCACCTCCAGCCGCCCCACCTCGTCCGGCACGCCAATGTCAATCTCGCGATCAAACCGCCCGAACCGCCTGAGCGCGGGGTCGATGCTGTTGGGCCGGTTGGTGGCGCCCATCACGATCACGTGCGCGCGCGACTTAAGCCCGTCCATGAGCGTCAGCAGCTGCGACACTATGCGCCGCTCCACCTCTCCCTGAGTCTTCTCTCTCTTGGGCGCAATCGAGTCAATCTCGTCGATGAAGATGATGGCGGGGGAGTTCTTCTCCGCCTCCTCGAACGCCTTCCGCAGGTTGCTCTCGCTCTCCCCCGCCAGCTTCGACATGATCTCCGGCCCGTTGATGAGAAAGAAAAACGCGCCCGTCTCGTTCGCCACAGCGCGCGCTATCAGCGTCTTACCGGACCCAGGCGGGCCGAAGAGCAGGATACCCTTGGGCGGCTTGACGCCGATGGACTTGAAGAGCTGCGGGTGGCGCAGCGGCAGCTCGACGAGCTCGCGGATCTGCGCCATCTGCTTGCGTACGCCGCCCACGTCGTCGTACCCCACCTCGTCGAGGCGCTCCTCGTCCTCGCGCTTGATGGGCTCGCCCTCGCAGAAGATCTCGGTGTCGGGCGCCACTATGCAGTACTCCGCTGGATCGGTCTCCACCACCTTGAACTCCACGCTGCGCATGCCGCCGCGCACCAGAAACAGATCGCCCTTGCGCACCGGCCGGTACGCCTCGAGGAAATACGCTGGACGGACACAAGGACGGCAGCATACGGGGAGGGAGCGAGGGCAGGTTGAAACGCTGCAAGCACAACCAGGCGTTGAGGTAGTGGACAGCAGCACGACACGTGCAAAAGGGCGGAAGCAGACAGTACGGTTCGCTACGGACGTTTGAGATAGGCGTCGAAGAGGTTGCCGGAGACGCCCTCGACGGAGTCGTCGATGGGCAGCACGTGGATGCGCTTGCCGTACTTGACGTCCGCGCACTGGTGCACCGACACCACGTCGCCCAGGCGCACGCGCAGGTTGGCGCGCACCACCTTGTTCATGCGGATGCGCGTCTCCTCCACCGTGTCGTCCGCCAGCACGACGCACACCGTGTCCTTGCGCTTCTTGCCCTGCCAGCACGCGCACCACACCACGTCACCTCCTCTCGCCAATCCGGCTTCATAAAACTAAACCACACAGCATCGCTAGAGCTTCTCGGGAGGTTGACGACAAACTTGTTGAATCTCCTTGACTCAACAAACTCAAATCCAACCTCGGTACTCAGCAACTTACCTTGAGCAACACGGTGTCGCCGCGGAAGAGCTGAAGTTCCTCCATGGTCTTCATGTTGAGCGCCACCACGGAGTTGTCATCGTTCACCGCCTCGTCCACTATCAGCCGGTTCAACGCCTTCTTGCGATCCAAAATCGCCGTCGAGAAATCCCGCTTGCCACCCTTGCCGCTGGAGAAAATAGATGAACAGAGGAGGAATTTGACAGTGAGTGGAGAGGGAAAAAAAAAAAGT